CCCCGCCACTCGCCATGGCTCTGCGAGCACCGGGGCGCTGAACAAAGCCGCCCCACTCAGAGCTGCTCGTTTCGGTGCGTCCTCTTCCACGGGAGGCATTTGCATTAAAGATGATCTCTATAAATAAGCCAACATATGCATTGTTTGTCTCGTGTTTGGGTTTTGTTTGGCGATGGGAGAGTTCGGCAGGAAGGAGAGCGAGCGGTGGGCTCCTTGCAAGCTGTCCGCCCCGTCCCACCGCTAACCCGTGAGAGGGGCCCTGCCCAAAGCTTCTCCGGCACAAGCAAGCGTCCACCAAGGTATCTTGCATTCGATTTGCTGTGTGGGTTTATTTTATTTTATTTTATTTTTTTGCATGCAAGAGGCTTCTGGGTTGAGTGTGAGACGGGTGGGTTGTGTTGAAAGCGGACATGGCCTCGCACATGGGTGCAGAGCAAAAGCTCCCCGAGCGCCCCGGCAGATGTTTGGTTCAGACTAGAGCCAAGCACCGGGTTGGGAGATCCCTCTCAGGGGAGGCCATCCCTGCCCAGCCTGCTCAGTCCCACTCCTCTCCCACCTCCTGCCCTCCGAGGTGGAAAGAACAAGAGAAGGACCATGGTTGAGACCTCTCCGAACCGTGATGGGAAAAGATCTCATGCTTGGGTGGTCAGCTTGGCTTTCTGCTTTAAAGGTGTCCAGATAAGTCAGAGGGGTTGAAATAAGAAAGGCGAAGGGGCAGATGTGGCTTACCAGGTTGCTTTGCAGGTTGTGCTTTTGAGGAGTGGGTGCCTCTTTGGAAGGTTGAAGGAAGTGTGAAGCGAGCGATGGTGATGGCTGCCTTTGCCAGCCCATCGTCTGGTGGGGGCGAGGAGGAGTGAGGCAGTTTTTTAGCCAGGGGAAGCACTTGAGGTTGGAGTGCCGTCAGCCAAGCTGCCAGAAACTCCCCAGGAGCATCCCGGTGGATGGTCTCCACTCACATCGGGGTGCACAGCTTGATTTTTCAGGTTGATTTACCCTGAAATAAAACTCCCAATCTTCTAGCGGATGCCACTCAGATCCAGACCTTGCCTCCTGGTTGGTAAACAACGTGCCAAACCCAAAAGCAAGGTCTCAGGAGCATCTGGCTATGTGCACCATGTCCCTGAAGCAGAGGCTCAGCTAGTTTGACAGCCTGGAAATTTTGAGTGAAACGCCGCTAGCTCAGGCACTGTTGAGATTTCAGGTATTTTCCTTGTCCCTGTTGGAGAGAAAACTGTCCCGGTGATAAAAGGAGCTTAATCGCAATCAAAATCCTAAAGGGCAAAGAAGCAAAGAACATAAACCTGAATGCGGTGGGAAGGGGTGAGTCTCCCAGGGGCAAACATTTGGGGAAAGGTAAGTGGCACGTGAGGGTGTCCATGGTCTTTGCTGATGATGAGCCCTTGTAGGATATGGGGATGGGGGCAAGAGGTGGAGGATGCTCTGCCGGGGGGAGCTGCAAGGCGAAAGCCCGGCAGAGACCCACCGCCGGGTGCTATCCAGGAGTCCCACATTTCCAGCTGAGACCTGTCGGGGGAATAAAACTCTGCTCGGGGGAGAGAGGAGGCTGAAAAAGGGGAAAGCTGGAGAGGGGAACAGACAACAAGGTTAAAAGGTCCAGTTAAAGCTCACGGGTGGCTTCGCGCCGCGCTACGGCGAGAAAAATCTCTTGGGCAGACTTTTCGGAAAGGGCTCTGTCCTGCTTGTGCTTACGGGAAATCAGTGAAGGGTTTCGCTGAAATTTTTATTTTAACTTCCAATGTCATTATAACGTGAAAACCAAACATGCTTTTGAGTGAGTGGTTGACTGGAGAGCGGTAATGTAAGATGCATACATCCATTATATATATATGCTTACATCATGTGTATATATAATGTGTGTGTGTGAGTATTTAATCTAGGCATAAGTAAGTCATGCTTTTGTTTTTCCATTCCTAACTAATATAACTTGACTAAAAAAGTTGCTGCAGTGGGTTTGCAGAATAAAGCACTTTGAATCTCAGAATTGTTTGTTTTTTGTTTTTTTTTTTTTTCTTAGCACAGTCCAATTTGCTATAATATTATTTTATACACAAATTTTTTTTGTCTGTCTTTATAAACTATTATAAGTACTATTTTTGTTATAATTCAAAATAGATATTTAGTATAAAGTTTTGCTGTTAAATATTTGTTATTTAGTAAAATATGATTTTTTTTCTCTTTATTGTAAACATTGTCTGGAAAAATATTAATATGTTTTATCACAGTTGTTTTTAATATTAAAAAAAAGAAAAAAGCACTTGTGGGGTTTTTCGTTATGAAATTGGTGCCGTGTGAACATGTGTTTCAGTCATGTGGTTTTTAATATGTATATAATATTATGTGTCGCATATTAAAATGAATGTTGTGTATTTTGTGATCTTAAAAAAAAAAAAATAATCCATGTGGCTATTTTATAGACTTCCATAATAAAAAGAGTTGAATCTCCAAATTTTTTGTTTCATATTCATCTGCATCTCCTCTCGAAGGGCTTGTGGCCTCCTGGTTTGGGGTCTCAGGGTAACACTCCCATCCTGGGAACTGGGGCACCCCATAAGTGGGATTTTTGGACCCACCTGGGGACCTATCGGTCTCCACGGGCAGGGTGAGGCCTTACTGGCTGGCACGGACTGAAATACAGGAAATTCCACTTAAACCTAAGAAAAAGCTTTTTTATGGGGTGGATGGCCAAACGTTGAACCAAGTTGCCCAGAGATGATGTGGAGTCTCCATCCCTGGAGATACTCAGAGCCCGGCTGGACATGGTCCTGAGCAACCTGACCGAAGTGCCCCTGCTCTGAGGTCCATCCCACCCTGAGGGTTTGGTGGGCTCCAGGATACCCAGTTTCTGCCCAAAGCTTTTACCTCTCCCCAACGAGAGACAGAGGCTGAGCAAAACAAGCAGGAGGGAAGGGAGTGGTGCTTTATCTCCAGTTGCACGTGTGCCCTGGCCTTTGCTGCTGGCTCTTTCAGGAGCTTACACCCTATAGAGATGGCCTAGGAGACCACCATGGGTTGAAGAACATACACCCAACAACTGATTGCATTGACAGGCTGGATGATGGGCAGGATGTGTGTGGTGGACCAGGCGAGGCAGGACATACTTCCCAAAGGAAGAGCTGGTGGGAAGGATCCTGTGACGAGCAGCAGCCGTGCTGCAGGCTGGGTGAGAGCAGACAGGTTGTCCCCAGCCCTCCCGTCACCTCCCGTGGGGCTATTGAGAGATTGACTGCTCCGGTGATCAGCTCCTCAGCAAATCTGTGTCCCAGAGTTTTCTGTGAGTGGGGCTTGCTTTGAGCCTCTTAAAAGTTTTAGGAACTTTTGGCCTTGGGTGGTGGGATGAAGTGCTTTGTAAGCGATGTGGCAGCCTGTGGACAAGCTACTGGTGAGGGTTTCAGCTGCACTCATCCCAGAGTGGTGATGGGGTGTGTGGGGAGTGCTTAGTGAGTAATTAGGCAGTTATTTAAGTAATTAGCTTCTGTCTCCTTGTTCTTCTCCCCATAAAAAAAAAAAAGCTCTGATAGTGCCCTGGCTGTGGTGGAAGAGTTAGAGAACAGGATGTTGCTGCACTGCAAACCCTTCCTATGATGACATTCAAAGGCAAGCGAAGGCTGGAGGAATTAATATAGCTCTTTGCAGTTGGCTGGAAAATATGACCATGCAACCCAAGCCTGCGTCCCTTCGGTGCAGCCAGAGGATCTGAGGCTCCTTTCCCTCCCTTTAGTGCTTTGCGGCCTCTCTCTTTTCCTGGTTGCTGTTCTGGATGTGTCCTGCCAACAGCGGCCTTGCCGTGTCTGTCCCGGCTGTCGCCAAAAAAACCACCGTGCCGTTGCGCTCGTCCACAGTCCTGTCCCCTTCCCGGCCTCTCCTCGAGCCGAAGGGGCTGATGTGTCACCTCCTCACCCTTCCTTTCCCTTCCAACCCGCGATGCATTTATAATACCCGTCTGTCACCTATTTAATAGCAGGGAAGGTCGTTTCCTTTTGGCCTTTTCTCTTTGGGATTTCTTTCCCCCCTCTGCTCCCCTCCCTTTGCTTCTATTTATTTATTTATTTTTAATTTATGGCTTTTAGCGAGAAGCTGCACCACCCCCGGAGGGAGAT